ACTGAAAAAGCCCGGCAAGAAATGATCCGCCTAGGCCTTCTAGAACCCCCAAACCCAAGTCAAAATGAGCAATCTAATGAATCCTCGGATCAGAAGCCACCCAAAACCCGACCCGCCTTGAAATGGAAATCAGAAAGCGCCGCCCATGTGAACAGGCTCATGTTGACCGGAATATCGCCCGGAAGTTGACTCCGACCGAAAGACGCGAAAAGAAAAAAACCAAAGTTTTTCGATGACAATAATAATACCCTCGAAACAATTGTGTCCATATACAAAGTGAATGACCTTTCGCACCTTCAGACTAGGTTTAAGGTTGATGTAAATGCACAGAAGAATCGGTTGTCGGGGTGTGCGGTTATTTCGGAGGGTATTTCTGTCGTGGTGTGGAGGGCGGGGGGGGGGTAAATCGGTAAAACGGTATCAGAAGTTGATGTTGAAGAGGATAAATTGGGCTGCGGCTGTGAAAGAAGAGAATATGCATGAAGAGGTTGATGATGATGATGAGAACGTGAAGAATAAGTGTGTGTTGGTGTGGCAAGGGAGTGTGACTAAACCAAGTTTTCAAAGGTTTTTGGTGCATGAATGCAGTACCGAAAATGCTGCTCGCAAAGTGTTTTATGATGCTGGGGTTGGTCATTATTGGGATTTAGTTGTTAATTTCTCAAGGATGTGTAATTAGTGAAACTATAAAATTTGGAGAGAATGTGAGATGATATAAATGTATATATGATGCTGGTTGTATTACGTTGTTGCAACAATTTTTTTTGGTATATAGGTTGTTCAGTGATAGATTTGTTATATTCAGATCCTACCTGAATCTTTATTATTTGTGTCCCCGTTAGTTTGTCACAGATACAGTATAAAGTTTATGTTTAAATTTAGAAAAAGTTGTCTAAAATCTGCTTAGTTTAACGAATCAAATTATCATATTTACTTGTAGTTCAAGATGAAAAAATAGGTCCGAAAAATCTGCTTATCGAGCGGGATAGTCGATAATATTATTTAAATCAAGTTTAATACTGTATAACCTATATTTATGTGTTTGTCCTTCACTCCTATAAAATAACCTATATTTCTTTTTAAATATATAATTTTGACTAATTTTATTTTTTAAAAAAATAGAAAATAATTAAAGCCCTTTCACACCTCACCCCACCAACTCATGCCCCTTTCATCGACACTCATCTCTCTCTCTCTTATTCTTCTTGTCCGACGTAGTCCTCGATGCTCGTGTCCATATGTAACGTCGCGCCTTCAATTCCGTTGATCTTAACCCCTATCACTTGCCATTTCTCATATATCTATATCCAGATCGTGACGAACTCCAATAATTTTGCCTCTACCCCCATCCACTATAACAAAGTGAAGATAATGCAACTTTGCTAAAAGGTTGCATTAAGGCTTGAAAATGTTGTATAATGCCGAAAGTAACTTTGTACCAAAGGTTGCATTAGGCAAATTGCATTAGACCAAATGCAACCCTTTCTTAAATGGTTGCAATTATTTTTTAGATGCAATCTTTTTTAATACAATCTTTGTTATGCAAAATAAACTTTTTTTATGCTAACATGCAACTTGTTTTACACTTATATGCAACCTTTTTTACTATTTTAATTACATTTCTAGTGAATAACTAGAACATTTCTCCAATGGTATGTACAACCTTTGTTGCATCTTTAATTGCAAAAATTACAATCTTGTTTAATGTCAAATCAAATTAAAACTCTATTTTTTTTATTTTTCTGAAATTAGTATTGTCGGATTAGGTGTCTAACCCAATAACTAAATTGGTATATATATACTTGAATTAAAAATCAAAGTCCTTTTGGGTCACCCTCATAACCAGAAATAACTAGAAATGATATTAGGAGAGAGAGAGAGAGAGAGAGAGAGAGAAAGAGGAGAGAGAGAGTTTTTGTTAATATATTATGCAATTAATATATTCAATGGCAGAGACAGTAAGGGAAGGGAGGTTCTTAGCCCCCCTAACTTGTCCATAAATTTCTATATATAATTCAACCCATCATATAATTGTAAACAAACTACAAAATGCCTCCATTATACTATCACCGATGAACGCATTCACAAATTAAAAATGAGGTAATACGTTGATATAAGGTCACGTAACTCTATTTTGTATTTAAAATAATTAAATATCTTTTACAAAAATTGAAAAAACTTGCTCACAGTTTTTAGAGAGATAAGTATGAAAACTAAAATTTTCAAAAAAAAGTCTCAAATACTTTTGGAAAGCGCCAAATCCCAATAAAAAACAATGTTTGAAATCGTTCAAAAAATTCTAAACCCCTTTTCAAAATGTTACCATCGTATGTTGTTGAGCTTTCCATTGTTACTCGCACGAATCCAGTCTCCGCTCTCACGCTCTCTTTTGGCTCTTAGCCCTCTGTTGATTCGTTGGTTGCTTTAATTATCGCGAAGGCTTAGCGTCTCCACTTATCAGCCACTACCCAAGCTACAGAAGGTCGTCGGTCGTGTGGTGCAGCTCATCGTCGCAGCTTTACCTCTCGCTCACAGCAAATCAGTAATGTTTATTTTCTCACTAATTCGTATGTTTCTTAACCCATATTTCTTCCTTAGGGATTTTTTATATAAATGTAATCGTGAATAGTTGAAATTTGGGGAAAGATGAAGTAAAAATATAAATAATTGATTGCTGACAAAAGATAAAGAAAACCTAGCCTATGCCAACCATTAATTTGTTTTCTATGTACGTATATATATAATATAATTATTTTTTTATTTCATATGTACCGTATAAACGATTTGTTTATATATTAATAAATTTAATTTTTATGTTGTTAAAGAATTTTTCCGACTTTTAAAAGTCCTTTGGTGTTATAAATAGGAAATTTTCTGTTTTTTGTTAAAAATTAAAAAAATTAGTCCATGATTATTTGTAACACTTGAATCTTGGTATGTTTCATTATTGCCCTTTGTTATTTTAAAAGTTACATTTTGGTCCTTGTGTAGTACGAGGGGTGTACCACATGGTACGCTTAGCGTACCAGTTGTGAAGAGAGTACGCGGGGCGTAATACATGGTACACGTAACATACTCATGTGTACACGGGACGTATGTGCCAGTTAGTGAAACCCTAATTTTTAGAGTTTGACACTATATAAACACATTTATGGCTCTTGAAATCCTCATTTCTCAGCCTCCACTGACCTCATTGCCTCATATTCGAAACCCTAGACCTCTCCGTTGAGTTTTGAGCTCATTATGTTCATTTTGGTGTGCCTTGGTTCATAATCAAGAAGAAGAAGCTTGGTGCAAGGTTGTTGATAAAGGAAAAGCTTGTGGACCCTGATTCTCTACTCCATTTCCATCTTGTTTGAGGTAAAAAGCTATTATCTTGTTTATTAATGGCTTAGATCTTGTATATATGAGTTTTGGACCCTTTTGGCCCCATGAATGCGATCTAGTGGTTTGACACCACTCTAGGAGCTTTGAGTTGCCACTTGTAACAACCGGTAAAAATTGGTCAGAGTTCGGCGGTTAAACCACCGCGAACCGTTATGCATTAAGAACCAATTGTGTGTAAAATTTAATTATAATGTATATTAAAAATATTACATACATAATTACTTTTAGAACATCTCAAACTGCTTAAACCATCTACCATTGAAGATTAAATGAAAAAACAACAAAAATTAAATTTATTGGTGACGTTAAAATTGAATTTTTTGCATTAAGTATATTTGAGAGTTGCGAATAATAAATTCTAATAGATTATGTTCTCCTGATTTCGTGGATATAAAGAACGACCAAAGCGGAGGTCGTATGAGAAAGTTACGACTCTTTAAAGTTATAAAAATCAGTATTTATTTGATTTTCTTGAAACGAACCATGGACTGATTCGTTTGGAATAGCTACGAGTCTCGTAAACTATTTTTGAGCAAGTTTTTTAATTCCGGCCATGGTCTATTATTTTATTATATTTTTATAATATTTTTAAACTCAACCGAAATCTGATTTGTAAAATCTGTCGAATCCGATCCTATAAATCGCGAAACTTTAAACGGATTTTCCCGGAGTTCTACTTATCAGATTTAAGATCTGTCTCACTTTTTGGAAACCTTATAACCGAGATTATCATTTGTCATTTTCATAAAAATTATTTGATATCTGGATCGAGGGCACAGGAATCGAGAAAGTAAGAAAATATCATTATTTTAAATATTACAAATATGACATTGTACTTTTTGCACTTTGAGTCAAGCATAATTGAATTTAAACTTTAAAAAAATATAACTATAGCATCTACACTTACATTTTCTACCACATCACTCAATATATACACAAATATATGTTAATACATATACAAATACATGTTAATACATACACATATACACGTTAATAATTGAAGCAAAACATTGCTTCTAAGTTTACCTCAAAGTACAACAATAAAGGAAATTGACAAGTATGTTGCTTCCAAATTTCACCTTGATCAAAATCACACTCAAGCCAACATTAACACTCAATCAATATCAACACCCAAATATGCATTCCCACATCAATTTCTATCAAAACAAACAACGAAGAAGGAGTTTTCGGTTTTCTCCTTTTTCCTCTCTATCAACTTCTGTCAAGCAACCAAACCCAAACACCGATTGATGGTTGTTACCATCGAGACCAAGAGGGGCAACAACCTTTTGGTTATTTATACCTGATTAATTGAAACAAACCTCAGACACCCACCTGTTTCGGATTCTTTCACCTCGCGTTGCTGAAATGCTTACAATCGGATGAAACACAAGAGCAACCAAGGGAAGTCGCCGCTGCCTCCCTATTAACTTCACGAATCACCATCGGAAAAACGGAAGTGAAGAGCGGGGACTGTCGCCTCCGATCTAACCCCACCTCCAATTGGAGTTTCACTGTCGGACGGAAGCAAGACAATCGAAAAATCATTGACTGTTTTCGCTTTCATTCTTCTTCATTTTAAAATCCGATCAACTACAAGTGGTGCACTCCCTTGATCAGCAACTGTTGCCACCTAGACCATTTCGATTTCCATTCGTCAGAAACTGGTGGTTCTCCTTTCCTTTGCGATTGGCTCGACCATCGTCGGAGGTCCCAACGATTCTCTCGTTCGCGTCTCTTTCCATTCTCGACCTGTGAATGAAGACGCACGATCCCTTTAGTATACTTGGAGAATATGGCAAAAATATCTCCTGCATTTATAACTTCAAATTAAAACTAGCCCTTTTAACAAAACCTTTTGCAAGCAAAGTCCCATTTGGCATGGTCACTACAAAAATGTTCCTTATACTATTTTAAAAGAGATAAAAATTGTCCCTTTTGATTTAATTTATCATAAATAAGTCTCTTGTATTAGATAAATTACAAATCAAACCAGGTTCCCTTAGTCGTGATAGTTTATTCCAAATTCAAGAAGGTATAACATACGGTTTCTCATGACAAGCTTCACGAAATGAGCATAGATGGAGATCACACATCGAATGCGAGTTTCTATGGCCCCTTTTTTAAAATTTTAATATTTAGGAGAGAATACATGAGTGTCTATTAAATTTTTGATGATTTTCAAGTTTTATACATAAAATAACATCATACTTTATTATTTTTCGAGAGTTTATGAAAATAACAATCTAAAATGTATAAATCATAAATCAATTATATAAGTTGTAGTAGAAT